GGACATTATTTTAGTTTTCAGTGTGCACATTTTTCATTTCTTTATCAGTTTCATCCATAGATATTTGATAATTTTGGTATTTTTATAAATATTTTTAGGTTGTCAGTTTCTAAACATTCATTTCCAGCATGTAGATGTAACAACTGTTGTTATTTTTGAATTTCCATGTTCTATTCTGCGAATTGGCTAAACTCAGTGTATGAATTTAACATGTGTAGATTCTACAGGGTTTTGCTGTATGTTTGTTTTGTGACCGGGTCTTACATTCCCTGGTTGAGTGTTCTCTGTTTGGGAACTCACCACCGGTCAGGCTGGCCCTGAACACTCAACCTTCCCCCTGTTTCCCCCTCCTAAGCGCTGAGATCACAGTGCAAGCCACCTCTTCTTTTAAAATATTAAACAGTCTGGGCTGGAGAGATGGCTCAGAGGTTAAGAGCACTGACTGCTCTTCCAGAGGTCCTGAGTTCAATTCCCAGCAACCACATGGTGGCTCACAACCACTTGTAATGAGATCTGGTGCCCTCTTCTGGCCTGAAGGGATACATGCAGGCAGAATACTGTATACATAATAAATAAATAACTCTTTAAAAAAAAATATTGAACAGTGATTGCATTGCTTGAGCACAGAGAAGTTTGTACAGCTGAGGCAAAGTTGTAGGTGATTCATCTTCCCTGGGATGGGGGAGGACTCAAGTGGTACTAGGTGGATGGATGGGTTCATCTCTTTATCATTCAGGACTATTCTGAGCTTCATGCTCTCATCCTAATGGTAGGAGTTCCTCCCACCCAGGCATGCATTTTTCTTTTGTTTTTGAGACCCAGTCTCACTCCGTAGCTCTGGCTGCCCTTGAACTTTTGATCTTCCTGTCTTTGCCTCCTGAGTGTTGGGTCTATAGGCAGACACCACTTGTCATGCCCGGCTGGGCCCAGGTCTCTCTGAATGTACCACAATGCATACGGTGCTATGTCTCGTGAGTCCTTCAAGGTCACAGTGATTGGTGAGGGAGTCAGGGCCCTTCTTAGCCAGTTTATAAACCTGCTCCTTCCTGTCATCAGATGTCAACTTCAGCCAAGTGAAGGCACTACTGTGACAGGGCAGGACCATGGGCACATGACTGGTGGTGGCAATGGTCAGGCAGGAATCCTCAGGTGGACTGTTCCGCTGATGCTAATAGAAGCATTCTTTTGTTGTTGTTATTGGTGGTTATCTGTTTATTCTTTGAGGCAGTGTCTCTCCTTGTAGTGCAGGCTGACCTCACACTCTCGGGGATCTGCCTGCTTCTGCCTCCTGAGTGCTGGGATTAGGCATATGTGTCATCAGGTTCAGGGACGGATGCATCCTTTGCAGCTTTAGTGTGCTTGACTTCTTTGTTTGCCTCTCCCTCCCTTGCCCTCTTTACCTGACTGTACTAAATGCCCCCACTGCTGCTCCTCCTCCCAAAACCCCAGTGCAATGCTGAACAGACCCAGTGGGTAGATATCCTTGCTTCCTTCCCAGCAGGGGGCATTCAGGTTTTTCAGCCTCAGATGTGACTTTGGCTGTGGTTTATCGGTCAAGTTGAACTTAGTTTTCAGTTTTCTGACTTTTTAAATTTTTGTTGCCAAGAATGAATGCTGAATTTTTTCCCATGGTGACTCCTGGATGGCTTGATTGCATCTGAGATATCTTAGACTTTTTCTTTTGAAATTTGTTAATGTGGTATAATACACGTGGGGTGTACTCTTGGTGTAAAAACCAACCCTTCGTTCCTCGGATGAAGCCCGCTTGGCTATGGTTTACTTTTTGTTGGTATATTATTAGAGACTCCATCTGTGTTCAGGAGGTGACTGGTCTGTACTCTTCCTTTGTAGTGCTGTTATCGGCTTTGGTATCAGAATGGATATAACTCCAGAGGACAAATTCAGCATTTCCTCAGATAATGTCATGTAGGAACTCCTGTACATCCTCCTTCTGGCCAGAATGGTGTTCCCTCAAAACTCACATGGCAAAGCCTCTGGAGCACTTTAGCCCAGTGTGTCAGAATGTATCTGTATTTGCAAAGAGTACTTTTAAAGGGGTGATTAAATTAAAGTGAGTGGCCCCGCACGCACTTGACTGTCCATAAACACAAACGTCATAAATTCACACACACACCCCCTCCACAGTGCCTCTTTGCATCCATCTTTGGGAACAGCTTAGGTTTGTATCTGGGGTTGCTCTCTTGCAAGTGGAATTTCTGGGTGGACCAGTTTATTATTCACTATTGAGCACTTGGAGCTTGGAAGAAGAAGGTGGGAGTGGAGGAGCCCGCCCCTCCCCGGGGAGGATCCAGCCTGTCTGAAGACCTGCCTAACTTGCACCTCCACTAGAATTTTAGGGGACACAGTGGCTTCCTGGGGTCCCAGGTCTTGGCTTCAGCCTAAATGCAGGTGCCCCCCAACGCCTGCAGCCTGGAGGCTGTATCTTTTCTTTGTAGTTCATGATCTTCCTGAGGGGTGGATGCAAATGTGTAGGGAGAACTAGAACCCAGCTCCCTGCAGACATCCAGAGCAACAGCAGCCTTGCCAGGGCTGGTCTGAGATGGTAGAGCAAGCTCTTGTCACACCCTGGAGCTCATGGAGAAAATGAGAGCCCCTCATCTCCAGGGTCCCCAGTCTGTGTCAAGAGCCACCAGCCAAAACATACATGTACCCACAAGGGAACGCACATCCAAGTGCAAATTAGAGCCTTCCCGTGTGTGGGCCTGTGACTGGAGGCTGTGAGGAACTTGCTGAGCACCCAGACAGGAAACTGGGCAGCAGTAGGGGGAGAAAATGGATGAGGGACAATGAATGACACCTGAGATAGTCCTATTGGCTGGGGACAGCCAGAAGAGTGAGAAGAGAAGCTTGGGGGGGCAGAAAGGGGATTGGGAGGGGCAGGGGAGGGACACCCCTTTCAGACCCTTGTCAACAGGATGGGAAACACTGGAGGAGGAGATATACGGATGAGGGAATTGGAAGTACCAGAGTCCAATAGGACTCTTTTCCCATCACCCCAAGCCCCACACCCCATCCCGATTCACCCCAGGCCCTTGTCACAGTCCAATCTTTGAAACTGGGCCCCGTGTGTGCCTTGTAGCACTGGCAGTCACAGTCCTTACTCCTGGAAGGAGGCCTTGACTCCACAGCTGAGGGGGCACAGAACAGGGAAGGAAGCCCACTGCCAAGGTCTCAGCCAGTCTGCTCAGGCAGCTCTCAGAGCTCAGACCCTCCCTTCCTTCCTGACCCCACACAGTGGACAGTAACGACAGGGCCAGCCACGCACACCCCACTCCCTAAAACCAGGCAACTGATGCCAACACCCAGACTCACCACCACCCTGGTACCGCTCGGGGCACCAATGGTGATTTTCAAAGACATTTTTTTGGGGGATGTAACTATTTAGGAGTGAAGTAAGAGAGCTGTTGCTGGGGCCTGGGGTGCTGTTTGAAGCCCTGAGGTGTATTAGACGGCTGCACTGAGTGTGGTCTCTACCCACAAGGACAGGTTAAAAAGAACCCTGAGACGCCTTGGTCTTGACACCTCAGGTGTGTGTGGGGGTATCTGCCAGATGCATGTGCTTGAGCCCCTCCCCCCACCCTGGGTCTCAGGCTGAGGGAGGTGGCCACCAACATGCTTATGGATGACTAGAACCCCTTTCAGTGTGAGGGGGATTCTGTTCATCTGGACAGCGGACAGGTATGTGTCCACACAAAGCCCCCTCACCAGCAAGAGCCTCCTTCACTGGGCTGGCTCCTCACAACTCTCTCCTCTAGTGGGCTTTGATGTTTAGGGTTTAGGTTTAGGATCTTTGTGGGTCTCTGCAGGGTCCACTTTTAGCTACAGTCTTGTTACAGTGGTTCAGCTGGGATCTCTGTCATCCCTCTCTGACATCTCCCTGGGGTAATGCCAGATCACCCCACAGTTTTGGGAAAAGTTGTCCAGTCTGTTTAGCTGGAGCCTCTGCCCCTGCTGGGTCCTCTTGATGATTTGGTATTCACTCACACTTGTCTTTGCCTTGTTTTACGCACTTCTTTTTTCTTTGAAAATATTATTTTTTTAATTTTTAAAATGTCTTATTTTCTTTTATTTTGTATGTATGTACCTGAGTACATGTATGTCTACTACATGCAAAGGTCAGAAGAGGCACTGGATCCCCAGGACTTGGAGTTACACATGGTTGTGAGCCACCATGTGGGTGCTGGGAATTGAACCTGGGTCCTCTGCAAGGGCGGTAAGTGCCATCTGTCTAGCCGCAGTTTATTTTTATTTTATGTGTATGAATGCTTTGCCTGCATGTATGTGCCTGTACCACTCTCATGCCTGGTACCTGAAGACACAGAATAAGGTACCAGACCCCAAGAAATTGGAGTTATGGGCAGTTGTGAGCTGTGAGTTAAGTGCTGGGAATGGAACCCAGGTCCTCTGCAACAGCACCAAGTGCTCTTAACTACTGAGGTAACTCTCTGGCCCTTTCTCTCTCTCCCCTCCCCCTCCTCTTCTGTCTTCTGTCTCTGTCTCTGTCTGTCTCTGTCTGTCTGTCTGTCTGTCTGTCTGTCTGTCTGTCTCTCTCTCTCTCTCTCAGACAGGGTTTTATGTTGTCCAGGCTAGCCTAAAACTTGCTATGTAGCTGAGGGTGGACTTGAACTCCTGCTCCTTCCTCCTGCCTCCATCTCCCAGGAGCCAGGATTCCAGGCATGTGCTACCACTTCCTCACTGCAAGGCCCCAGCAGAGTGGTCCCTACAGGAAGGTCCCTTGAAGAAAGGGCCTCTTGCTTTTCTTCAACAAGTGTTGTTGGGTAACATGTTCCTTGGCATCTTCCAGCTGAGGATGGAGAGAACTTCAGCCTTGCTTCAGGTACAGGGGGTGGGGCTGATTCTTGGTGGTTGCACCCCACTCCCAAGCCCAGGGGTGGGCAGGCTGATGTGGGGTGGGGATTTTACCAGCCTGGTGTGGGAAGGGCTGTGGCAGTGGGAGGGAAGAGGTGGAGCCAGCCTTTTCTAGGACATCTGTCACCTGTCTTCTGCCCAGGGGCATTGCCCCATCACTACCCTGCTAGTTTTCGAGGCAGCGTGAAGCTGGGGCCTGCTCCTCAGAGACTTCTGGGCATATTAAGGACCTTTCAAGCCCTATGTCGCTGGCCTTCCCAAATCCAAGACATGGCAGATGGGGCGCAGGCCAACCCCAAAGGGTTCAGGAAGAAGGTGCTGGTTAAACACCCTGCTAGATGGAAGAGTCCAGGCCTCGGGACCTCTTCTCCTTCCAGAACCTCCAGGTAGGTGCTTGCTGCCCTGGACTAGAACATTCCGAGGAGAAGGGCAGGGAGACGGGAAGGGGATAAACTACTAGAGTCAGTTTTTCAGGAAGGAGAGCTCTGAGTGTCTGCATGTTGAGCAGAGGTGTGCCAACTGCATTCTGGTGCTAGAAGGATCTCTGGGACATTTAGTCAATCTAATTCTGTTCTTGAAGCCCAGAGAGGCTAAGAGATCTGCCTGTGGACCCTCAGCATCTGCAGAGCTGAATCTAGAATCCAGTGACCAGAGTCTCTTGGTTTTAGGTTTTATGATCCAGGTGCCAGCTGAGGTCCCATGACTCCGGTCCTAGCATTCCTTGGAGTATGGTCCTGAGAGCTGAATCTGGTGTGGGACAATGGCTTCCTGTCTTGGAGCTGAGAGTCGGGGGAAATTGGTTCTGGTGGCTCTGCCACCCTGGGGTGTGTTCCTCCCAGGAGATGCAGGCCAGGTGGGGAGGAGTTGGTCACAGGGCTGGGTGACAGCAATTAAGGCAAGAGAAAGCATGGGTGGTGTCTTGAACGAGACCCGGCTACGGTTAGCTGGAGAGGAGGGATTCAGGCTGGCTTTGATCTCTCTTCAGGTCCAGCCTGAGTATGAAGAAATTCTTTGCCATCGCAGTCCTGGCCGGCAGTGGTGAGCATGGCTCCCAGGAGACCTTTCTGACACCCCTCTCACCGCCAGCCTTTCCCTAGAAATGTGGGCTCTGTGTTATTCTACTGGCAGGCTGTTCCTTCCTCTCTCCAGGCCTCCACTTCCCTGTCAGGCTTCAACCTCTCCTCTGGGGCTGTTTAGTTCTGGACACCTGTAAACAAGCCAGGGGCCTTCTTTTATGAGCTACGCTGAGCAGGTGCAGGGAGCTGAGCAAGCCTCGTAAACTGGTAGTGTTTGCCATCATTGTGGACCTGAGCATATGTATTAGTGACTTTCCGTGCTGGCAGGAGTTAATGAGTTTGTGTATAGCTAGATGCGTGTCTGTGCATGAGTGTAGGTGTGTCTGAGCATACACCATGTCTGTGTGCCCCACACTTCAGTAAAATACGGCTCCTGGCTGGCACCTGGGTGTACATCTGTGTTCATTGTGATGTGTGTGTGTGTGTGTGTGTGTGTGTGTGTGTGTGTGTGAGAGAGAGAGAGAGAGAGAGAGAGAGAGAGAGAGAGAGAGAGAGAGAGAGAGATCAGAGAATGTATAGCTCTGCTGACAGAGAGAGGGAGGGAGGGAGGCAGGAAGAGAGAGGGAAGGAGAGAATAAATGTGTTTGCCTGTAAACTTCTTTCCCTGGGCTGGTACCCAGGGCTTCATGGATATGAGCAGTTACTCTCATCATGGTTGAGTGGGGCTCCTGACACAAGCGTGACCCCACCTTGCACCCCCAAAGACAGAGTTCATTTGGCCAGACACGCAAAAGGGCTGATGCATTCAGACAAAATGGCCTGTCATTTAGAAAACAACCCCTCATGTCTCTCCCGAACCACTGGTCCGAGGAGACTGAATATGAGCTATTTCTGCCTGTGGATGTGGTCTTAGCTCTGGCTACTGATTCTTTGAGTGCCACGTGTGATAGTTTTGTGAGGTAAAGCAAGTGTGTGTGTGTGTGTGTGTGTGTGTGTGTGTGTGTGTGTGTGTCTATCTCAAGCATAGTCTTGTATGTTTCTTACTTTCATCCTGTGAGAGCTGACAGTTGGCAGCTGGGAGCCTGGTGCTGCATATACCCTATCCCCAGGGTGCTGCATATATCCTACCCCCAGGGTACTGCATATACCCTACCCCCAGGATGCTGCATATACCCTATCCCCAGGGTACTGCATATACCCTACCCCCAGGGTACTGCATATACCCTATCCCCAGGGTACTGCATATACCCTACCCCCAGGGTGCTGCATATACCCTACCCCCAGGGTGCTACATATACCCTACCCCCAGGGTGTTGCATATACCCTACCCCCAGGGTGCTGCATATACCTTACCCCCAGGGTACTGCATATACCCTACCCCCAGGGTGCTGCATATACACTACCCCCAGGGTACTGCATATACCCTACCCCCAGGGTGCTGCATATACCCTACCCCCAGGGTAAAGTGCCTGCAGCTAGAGGAGGAGATGGGGTTTCCCTGTCAGGGGAGGAGGTAGCCAGGGCCTCACAGTGGCAGCTGGGTACCTCCAGGCCCTTTAGGGTGCATCCAGCCTCCAGCTTTCCAATCTTGGGCTTCCTGTCTCTCAGAACATTTCCTTGTCCATGGAGGGGGGAGGTTGGAGAATGGGGGAGGGGATGCCTAACTCCAGGTGCAGCTGGAGCAGGCCAGAGTGGAGGTTATATCTACACAGGCTCCATGTTGCATGTGGCTTAGCGTCCAGCTAAGGAACAGACAAGGCTCCTGCCTGAACTCTGCCATTCCTAACCTGGGCTACCCGGGCAAGCCTTTCCCCTTCTGAGCCTTTGTCTTCTCACCGTGCAAATGGGGATAAAACCTCCCTCCTGCCGGTGAATGGGTGGCTTCACCCCGGCAGGGACTGCAGGCCCCAGGCTCCTGGCACTGACTCAGCAGAGATGGCTCAGAGAGCCCCACACCCTGCCGGAGACAAGAGAAGGAAGCAGTTGAGAGAGGAGGAAGGAGGAACGGCTGGAGGGCCTGGCCGCGGCCAGGAAGCTGATTTTTGCTGGGACAGAAGTTCATTTGCATTATTGTTTGTTCTGCGTGTGCACTGAGACACAGACTCCAGGATGCTGGCGGGGACCCTGGCTCCCCTTCAGTTGCAGAGACACCAGACAGAGGTCAGGAAAGGAGCGCAAGGACCCAGAATCAAATTCCCGTAACTCAGGACAGTATGTGGCATTTGTGAAGCACTCTCTAGTGAACCAGACACTCAGGATGACCTCTTTGGGGAGTGGTCTCTGATCTCCTTAAGTTGCCCAGGCTAGCCTTGCATGTTCAATCCTCCTGCCTCAGACTATTTCCTGAGTAGGTGGAATGTGTACCACCAAATGTGGCTGAACTGTAACGCTGACTTTTAGTGTTTTTACTATAGTATGAGTTTATCAGGATGTGGCTCCATCAGAAGTCAAGCACCTGAGACAGAGGGTGTGGCTGAGGTCCACTCCCTGCCTGGCTCTGGGTTCTCCAGCATCATGTGACAGTGTGACCCTAGGCAAGTTACTCAGGGTTCCAGCCTCAATTTGCTTATCTGTAAAAATGTGATAACAAACTGTCAGGAGTTGCAGTGAATACCCAATGAGTTAACAAATGTAAGGGTTTAGGAGCTGCGTGGAGCCTGCAGCTAAATGAACCACATTCTGTCCTCCAAGCTGTAAGGCTCAAGGCTGGGAGTGGGAAACACTTCAGCCTTCAGGATTTGTATGTCCCCCCTCACTCCCCTCTCCCTCCTCCCTGCACTCCCCTCTCTCTCCTCCCCCCACTCCCCTCTCCCTCCTCCCCCCTTTCCCATGTTGCTCTCTGGGTCCCAGCTCTGAGGAGTCACCAGGCCAGACTTACATGCCCAGCTCTCTTGCAGTTGTGTCCACTGCGCACAGCAGCCTGCTGAACCTCAAGTTCATGGTGGAAGCCATCACACACAAGAACGCCATCCTGTACTTTGTGGGCTACGGCTGCTACTGCGGGCTGGGGGGGCGCGGCAAGCCCATGGATGAGGTAGACTGGTAGGTTCTGGAGGCCTCTTGTGGGAAGACATGGGGGCAGCTAATGGACAGACTGAGGAGGAAGGGCCAGGATCCCCATCTTTAACTTCAGAAATGCTTTCTGGTGTTCATATTAGAGTAGCATTTCCTGCCTTCCCACAAACAGACAAGGAGGTGCCAGTCTCGTGGCTGATACTCCACAATGGCAAGGGACATGATGGACACCCACCCCATTAGTCCGAGCTTCCTCCCTCAGACTAAGAGATCCGGGAAGCCATGGATGGCTTCTGCTCTCACTTTCCCGGCAGCAGCCAGCACCAATTCTGGCCCCATGGGGAGCTGGCAATTGGCTTCACTCTTTTAGAAGAGAAGGAGATGACTACTCTCCATTTGTTCCCCATCCTGCACACCCCCCAATGCCCGAAGACTCACCCCAGACTCTGTCTCCTCCCTGGCTATCCAGCCCAATGAGGCGGGGCCTCTGCCTAGAGTCTGAGTTATTCATGTTGGTTTTAAAGCCATGGCTTCCTTCCGATGCTCCCTCCCTGACTGGGCTGTGGGGACACCTGACTCCCCTTGCAGCTCCACTCTAGGCTCCATGGCAGGGAGGGAGCTGGGAGCCCTGACAAAGAGGTAGGATCCAGGACAAGAATACAGGGTGCCAGGCGCCAGTTCTGTTTTACTGTGTGACGTTGGGCATGTAACTATCCCTCTCTGGACTGCAGTCTGAAGGGCTGGCCATGAGGGACTGAAACAGATGATCAGAGGTCTCTGCTGGGCTGGGGGTGGGGTGGACGTGCTAAGGGGTGGGGGCGTTGGCTGCCTGCACCTGTCTGCTCATCTCTGCCCCCCCCCCCCCCCCCCCCCCCCGCCTCAGGTGCTGTCACGCCCATGACTGCTGCTATCAGAAGGTCTTCGACCAGGGCTGCCGCCCTTATGTGGACCACTATGACCACAGGATAGAGAATGACACTGTGATTGTCTGCAGTGAGTCCCTCCCCTGACTCCCTGGCTAGGAATGGGACCTTGGGGTGAGGATGGGGACCCAAAGACAAACCCAGGATACCCCACTAAATTTGGATTTTAGGCAAGCAATGAAAACCATTTTGGGGATAAGGATATCCCAAATGAGACACATTGGCACTAAAAGTTAACCGTTGGCTTCAAATTAGTATTAGCATAAAACGAAGAATTAGAATGACCTTGAATTTGGCATGAATTTGAGTAAGAACTACCTTTCATTACTTGGCCCTTACCAATCACTCCCTAGGAAAGTGGGCGTTTGCCTGACTCTTCCACTAAGGGAGGAGTCTGGAAAACAGGGCATAGCCGCCCCTCTTTCCTTCTTAATTTTGTTGATTTTTGCTTATGTGTATGTGTGTGTGCCTGCTTGTCTATATGTGTCCCATGTGTGTGCATGTGCCCGTAGAGGTCAGAAGAAGGTGTCGGGTTCCCTGGAACTAAAGTCACAGGCGTTGTGAGCCACCTGATGTGTGCGCTGAGAACCGAACCTGGGTCCTCCGCTCTTAACTGCTGAGACATCTCTCCAGCTCCCCCATCCCTCTTTCTTAGCCTCAGTTGTCCCAACTGTTCAGAGGTTCCCCAGTTTTACCCTGTGCTATGGGGCACCAGCCCAGAGCAGGGTACCCTAAAGGCCAAAGAGGCACAAGACCTACTTACTGACTTGAAGTCACATCCCAGAGGCCACTGTGTCTCAGAGTCCCTTCCTCTCTTGTCCTTTCCACGACAGGTGAACTCAACGAGACAGAGTGTGACAAGCAGACGTGCGAGTGTGACAAGAACTTGACTCTGTGCCTCAAGGACCAGCCGTACCGAGACAAGTACCGAGGCTACCTCAATGTCTACTGCCAGGGTCCCACACCCAACTGCAGCATCTATGACCCATACCCGGAGGAAGTCACCTGTGGACATGGCTTCCCAGCAACTCCTGTCTCAACCTAGCCTGCCTGAGGTCTGAGAGAAAAGAGGGTGGACAGTCAGGCTGGGGTCTACATCTGATGTGTGGGGTCAGATAAGGCCCAGAGCTGTCTTGTGGCTCCCTCCCAGTCCCGTAGTGAGCTCACTACCAGAAAGGCCAGAGCTTGACTGTGGCCATCACTATTAGCCTCACACTCAGCAGTTGGGTCAGGTCTTAGCAGGAAACACATGCTCGCTTGGGTCTCTCCTGAATATGGAAGGAATGGATGTGGCCCCAGCTCAACTCCCAGGGCCTTAGAGTCCAGCACAGGCCTGGAACTACACTCAAGCAGGCAGAGCACTAGGTTGAGGCCTGGGTTCTGGGGGGCCCTGGAGTCCCACAAGATGACTTAAGGAGTCATCTCTCCTTTGAGGAAGACTTGTGACTCTCTAGAGTCCCCCTCACAGAGTGGGTGGGCCCACTCGGCCCTCAGCCAACAGGATGTGTCCAGGCCCAAAGCCTGACCTCTCTTACTCAGAGTGCCTTTGGGCAGGGACCCCATGTACACAATAGGGTACTGCATTTACAGGGACTGGCAGGGTGGTCACATACCCACAGTTCTTCCTGCCCCTCTGACTCCTGCACAGAAGTGGTGTGTACCCCACTATGCCCATCCAAATCCCAGGTGGTAAGCTAGGGGAACCTGGAGTTCTTGCTCCATACACAGGGAGAGGCCGATCCAGACTGTCTCTGGGGAAGACACTGAGGTGTAGGCTGAAAGGTGGAAGGGACGGTCAATGCAGGAGACAGGAGGAAAACGCGGGTAGAGAGGGGGTGGGCTGGTGAAGAAGGGGTGGTGGGGAGGTGGGAGCAAGATGCTGTAACGAGGGCCAGGCCGGCTGCCAGACATGCAGATGGGCATAGCAAAAGAAGGGATGGGGGCAGGCTAGTGAAGCTGACGGTGTGGCCCCATGGGTCTGGGGAATCTTGAAGGCTCCTGCTGGCAGGTCACCTTCTCCACTGTCCCCAGCCTTGTGTTTCTTCAGGTGTCTACCCCGTCCCCTGCCTCACCTCCCATCTCAGGGTCGGCAGTGTCTAGCCCTGCCTCATACCTGTCTTCTGCCTTCATCCGATGTTAACCCTGAGAACCCAAGGATGCCAGCCCCATCTGGACACTGAGAACATTCACCGGGAAGCTCAGCTTGTGTGGCCACGTGGGACATTGTCACTGGGGAGAGAGAGCCAAGCAGGTGGCGATGGAGGCAGGAAAAGATGCTTATGCAGACAGCAGTGTCTGAAATGGCAGCGTTGGGACTGAGGGGTCACTGTGTGCAAGAGGGACCCTCCTGAAGCTTGCCTCATGCTGGTTGTGACATGATGGTCACCTGTGTGCATTGATCCAACTTGGCCCAGCCTTGTGACCTTCTTCATCTGCCCTGTCGGGAGCTCAGCCAACAAGCCTCACCAGCCCCACCCCAAGCCAAGGGTAGAGCTGGAAGGGTGCCCAGAGAGCTTCCTGCTGAGTTTTGACCCCAGGCTTGTACACTCCTCCATGGTCACACCCCTATAGAGAAGGCTGGGCCAATGAGACTCTACTGCTGTGGGATCCAGCCCCCTATACCTCAGCCCCCACTCCCCTCTTTCCCAGGCTCCATAGAATACGACATTCCCTCCTCAGACTAATAAAAGTTCCCCAAGTCTTGGTTGCTACTGCTGAGTCCTTCTTAGGGTCAGGGTGGGCACAGGGATACATTCCTAGGTCTCTAGTTCTGGGGAAGACAGGTTCCTTGACATTCCACAGCTGGCATGATCTCATCCTTCCCCTCACCCTCTGCTTGTGGGGAGATGTGGCCCTGTGCAGCTAAAGGCACAGGCTGAGAAGACAGGAGAGTAATGCCTGGGCCATGGGCAAGGGCAAAGGGACCCTCCACGTAATGATGGTAGCCAGTGTGAACTGAGGATGCTTGCCCTTTTGTGGTGATGAGCCGAGGCCCAGAGAGGGAACAGCAGCTGTCCCAAAGTCTCCAAAGCCACAGTTGTGCTCTGAATCCTGAGAAGGACGTTCAGCCACCCCTGTGTCCACACTGATGTGCACAAGAAGGACTGGCTGAGGACAACACTACCCTCTTCCAGTGTGTCTCTGGTGTCCCTTCTGTGACGGAACCTCTGGCTTGAAGGTCACAACTTGATAGGACAGCCAGGGAAACAGCAGCTGTCTTAGTGAGCTGAAGGGCGGTGGGGTGAGAGACAGGCAGGAGATCTAGGTCCTCCTGGTTACTAGCTCTGAGGTCAGATGCCTCAGATAAAGTGGAGCAGCTACAGATGCCATGGAGCAACCCATCTGCGTCCCACCTTTCTCCCACTCAGGTTCCTCCACGAATTCGTGTCTGTTTCCTTGTGTGCCCAGTGTCCAGAGCCACGGCTGACTGTCCTACTTTGATTTCTAGCGCTGAGATAAACACCATAACCAAAAGCAGAGAATGGGGAGAAAAGAAATGTTCATTTGCCTTAAACATGCCTTTCACTGTTGATCACTGAAGGAAGTCAGGGCAGGAACTCAAGCAGGACCAGAGGCAGGAAGCACAGAAGAAAGATGCTCACAGCTCCCCATGGCTTGCTCAGCTTGCTTTCTTATACAACCTACCTCTGCCTAGGGAATGGCATCACCCACAGTGGACTGGACCCTCCCACATCAATCATTAATCAAGAAAATGCCCCATAGATATGACCATGTGCCAATCTGATGGAGGCAATTTCTCAGTGGAGGCTCGTCTTCCCAACTATACTGTGTGTAAAGTGGACAAAAACTAACCCGCCCAGTGTTCCTGAGGGCATGGGGGAGGAAGTTCTCAGGGGAAGTGAGGCTGCCACATATGGGCTCTGTCCCCTGCCTCAGTCCTTAGTGAAGCATCCTTTCTGCATCACAGACCCAGCTCTTTATCAGACCTTGAAAGAAGACAGAGACTGTATTGACGGTTTCCTGTGTTCCCAGGGGTGGCCCTGTTCCCCAAGAGCCCACCCAGGTCTAGGTGGGGAGGAAGGCATGTGGGACCTTCGTGCATGGTACCCTGCGGCATGCCAGGACAGAATGAAGATTATTTCAAGTCTGTGGCAGCCCCAGGTGTACCTCAGAGGCCGTAGGGTAGGACTGGGTAAGAGGAGGAGCAGGAAGAGGGGGGCTCTTTGTTCCCACAGCCCACTCTCCTTGGGTCTCCTGGTCTATCTTTCCGAGCTGTGAGGTCTACTCTGAGGCCTGAGGAGGGCGCTGTCCTTGCTCCCTCACTGACCAGTCCTTCTGAGTTCTGAAGTGCCTGTCATTTCCCCCTCCCCTAGTCACAGGTTTGGGACCCTTTGTTTTTTAATGACCGTTTTCTAGAACTTGGGTGACACCTGGTGGACACTATGGCTCACATCCGGTGCTGCTCACCACATCTCCAGTCTCCTCTGCTATGGAACTGCTGTGGGGTCCCAACCCTACTGACAGATCTCACCCCAGGCAGCCAATGTCCCCCTGGAGCAAAAGGACACATCTCCTCAACCGCCTTGTCAGGGCCACCAATGCGACCTCTCACAAACACCCGGGCTTCAGGCAAAGACTGTGGGGCAAGTGTTGCACAACTCAGCCACTGGCCACATGGCCCTGGGCAAGTCACATGACTCCGAGTCGCACCTCTTTGCACTCTGTGGCTGGTGAGTGCACAGCAGAGGTCTGGGGGTGGGGGAGTGACTGAGGTCAGGAACATGCATGCCCTAGTACAGTCTGGCATGGAGGGCAGGAAGAGTCAGAGCTGGGGATGGGTGCCCTGGCTAGGGTGTTGACCACATGGTCCCCAAGTCAGCTTGGCAAATAGGAAGAGGAAAGAATTGGTGGAAGTGGATTGCCCGTGACCTCCCTCGCAAACAGAAACCTGGCAGGGACTGGGGGAGTTGGAGGGAGCTGAAGGAGGAGAGGGGAGGCAACCACAAGTCCCTTCCCCATGCCACGTCTGCCCCTGGGCTGAGCTGGGCTGGGCTGGCGCATACCATTCACTCAGCCCGGCCATTGACTGAACACAGCCCTTCCTCTCCAGGGACTGGCAAAGCAACACCAGCTACCAGCCTCCCTAACAAGCAGCTGATGCCACCAACTGTGACAAGCAAGGTTCTGGAGAGAAACACCAAGGCTTCCTAGCATCAGGAGGCAGGATACTGGAGTGAAACCAAACCAGACCTCTCTGTAAGGGCCACCGTGCAAGAACAGCCTGCTGGAGCAGGGGTCTAAAATTCCAGGGTGCCAGCCAAGATTAACTGAGCGCCTACTGTATGCACACTGTGCCTCCAGCTGCCTGATCTCTCCTGCCTGGCAGCTGCCTGAGCTGGGAACTCTTCATCCTTTCCTTTAAAAAGTGAGGAAGCAAAGCCCATAAGTTATGTATTGTCACCCAAGAGCTGACTCTTGACTCCATTGAGCCACAACCTCAGAAAGTTTCTGGTTCAATATCTCTCTCCTAGAAAGGGGAGGAGCTATGTCTTAGTTAATTTTGCTGTGACCAAGTCCCTGGCAAAGCCACTTAAGGAGGGAAGGGGTTGTTTGGCTCTCAGCTCGAGGGGATGGTCCATCACGACGGAGAAGGCATGGGAGGCAGAGCCCATGGTAGCTGGTTATATTGTGCCCACAGTCAGGGAGAAGGGAGGAGGGAGGAGGGAGGACGGAGAGCGAGGAATGCCAGTGTCCGTTTTTTATTCAGTCCGGGTCCCTAGCTGTGAAACCGTGTCCCTCATATTTAGGGTTGGTCTTAATCTCCTCAGTTAAACAACCCCCAGAAACAACCTCATAGGAGCACCCAGAGGTGTGTCTCCTAGGTAGTTCCAAATCCAGATAGTTGATAAAGAAGTAAACATCACAGGAGGTAATTTCTCAGTGAGGCTCCCTCTTCCCAACCATAGTATGTATAGGCTTCAAATCAGAAGACAAGGCTTGCCTCCCAGTGCTCTGTAGACACAATCCTTCATTTTCACCAGTCATGGGGGTGAATAAATGATCCCTAGGATCTCTCCGATGATCAATAAGACCATGCACGAAAAACATGCAGCAAGTGCTCTGAGCCGCCACACCCTCTCTCCAGTTTCTCCACACGCTCTCTTCCATCCACCCAATTTCACATGCACTTCAGTGACAGCGGGGGAAACCAGATCGTTGCTCTCAAACAGAGGGGGGCAAATACTATAAAAAGGGTTGGCAGGTGCATCGGGCGACAGAGGGGGACTAGCAGTGGAGATAGGGAGCATGTTACAGACAGGGGCTGAAGGGGAACCGCTGGAAGGGTGAGGGGAGGGTGGCCTGTGTGGCCTGTTGAGAACTTGCTATGTGAGAAGATGCAAAGATGACCCCAAGGAGCAGGCACGGTCACTTCTGCACAAAGCAGGAAGCTGAGTCTAGATTCTTCCTCTTGTATTTTATTTGCATGTAATCATTTCACCAAATTATTTTATAAATACAGAATCGAGGTGTGCTGGCAAGGCCATGCCAGCAGCTTGAAGGTGGGATGTGGGATTTGAGAAGAATCTGATGCCTACATTATCCTCAGTCTGTCTGATGGTGGGGGGGAGTCCACACACCACACTTGGTTAGAGGGTGGGGTCCACACACCACACTTGGTTAGAGGGTGGGGTCCACACACCACACTTGGCCATCCCAACTCTCTTCTTTAGGGTCTCGGACAAGATGTCAGCCCACCCCAAGCCTGGTTCCTTGAAGAAGCCTTCTTCCCAGTGGTCATTGCTCCCCAAGCAGACACCGATCTCAGCACCTCTCAAACTATCTGGTCCTTGTGTCCTTCCTCCCCAGTCTGACAGCTCCTTGGAGTAGAATTTCTACTTCTCAACCCTCATCACAGGCCTGGGGTAAAGTCAGTCCCCAGTGCAGATGAATGACTGCCCTCCAAGAGAACGGTATTTCCTGCAAGCACCAACAGCATCCTTTTACAACTCCAACACTGTCTGCTTTGATTCTGGGCACTGACTGGGACTCATGCACCATCCATAACTTATCCCATCCACTTCCGTACAGAAGCTGGCCCCAGAGGCAAAGGAGACCTGGATCTCACATAGCAACCTAGTCATGGGGGCATGCTGAACATCATCCTGGCCCTTCTTCCACCTCAGCCTTCATTCAGACATCTTCCCAGGTTAGAACCAGTTTCTGATATGACAGGACCTCCCAGAAGGTGGCGTGCTACTGGCTTAGCCTAGCCACACTAGTATCATGCCTGAGCCCATCCCCAACACTCCTAGGCCGAAGATTCCTGCCCTCCTGTCCCACACACGTCTGCTTCCTGTACATGGCCGGCTGGGGGAAGAAAGGTGACTGCAGGTTGAACCAGGAAGTCCTCAGGGGCCCTGGCTCTCCACGGAGTCTTCTATCTTCATGTGCTCTGCGTTCTCAGTCCAGGTTTTAACCTCTGGCATTGGTAGAAGCTGCTACAACTCTCAACATTCTCCTTGGAATTCAAAATTCTTAGACTTGAGTCTGTGTGTGCTTCTTTAAATCCTTGCTGCTCATCACCTGCACATGGCACACAGTATGGGTTCAATGCACACATGTTGGGTGACCTACTAAGCAAAGGCAGCCCTGTGTGTTATCACCCAAATCCCGTCATCTCCCCAATACCAATGGGGACAACTACATTCCCATGGCCTCCAAGTCTGGCCCAAGTGCTGAGAACCTGGCAGTATTGGTGAATAAAGACCAGCATCGTCAGCTAGGCAGTGCTGTGGAACCAGCCACGCTGAAGCATCATGACAATGTAGCTTCCTGTATGAGATTCATGGTCCTATGTGTATGAGTTCAGCCTGGGTTCGGCTGTGCTCCTCAATGCTTGTGAAGTCTCTGCTGAGACCAGATTTGCTGTTGCTGATGCTGACCCAGCAAGTTCTCATCGTCGAGGAGGCTGAGCCCGGCCTTCCTCCTGGTGGATGCAGGTGTCTTCACAGTAGACCCGCCCTGGACCCCAGAGACCAAAGTCTGCACTTAAGACCTTTGCTTTGTCTACGTTACCAAGCAGAGTCCCAGATTTAAGGGATGAAAGGGAGACTTTGCCCTTGGCAGATGTGCTGAATGCTAGGGCCCAAAAAGCAAGTGCCACCAAGCAGGGAGGCGAGCCTGGTCACAGCTGTGTCTGAGATCCACTATTCCAATCTGGCATCACAAAACTGACTCCACCTCAATTAGACCTTCCCTGTTTACTAGATTTAAGACTTACAGGACCAGAGGCTTCTAAGTGGGGGCGGAGATTTAGGGTGCCTTGGATCCACTGTCCCCCATCTTCTCTCCTTTTCTTCATGTCATCTTTGCCGTGACATCCTTGTGGCAGTAATGAACAGCATCTTTGTAATGGCACCCGGTTTTATGAGTCACCAGACCAGCCTGCGTCCTGCCAGAGGGTTTACAGATGGCAGACCTGGATAAACAAGGACCAGACTCCAGGTGAGGCTCTTGGGGCTGTATTTTCTAAGAGACCTGCTTTGTTCCCAGCCAGATCTGGGTGGAGGACTTGGTTCCCCAGTTAGACTCCTGTCCTGACTTAGGTTGGGGGTATAGGAGAGTTCAGGTTAGATCTTGGGTTTTTCCCCCTTCCTTGGAAAAGGGTTTGGGTCTCAGGTAGCCCAGGTTAGCCTTAAACTTACCATGTAGTGGAGGCTGCCCCTGAATTCCTGCCTCTCCTGCCTCCCCCTCCCAAATGCTGGGGTTGGAGGGTGCCTCCCACCCCTTCACCCTTGTTTCTTGATTCCTAGCACTTATTTGGGTTGGGATGTGCCTCTGAATTGCCAGACACCCATGGTCTGTTCCAGAGCAGGAATTCTCTGTTTCTTACTTCCAGTCCCTGGTGCTGAGTGAGCTGAGGAGCCTGGGGGTTCAGACATGGTCGGAGACAGCTTTCCAGGGGGGTCACCACGTGACAGAGGGATGGCGGCCTCCCTAGCACCGGAGTTTGTGTCTGCCACACTGGGGCCTGCTGAGGAAGATCTGCTTGAAGGCCTTCTCATAGGTGCCCAGGTTCTCCCTGAAGCAGTACACAGACTGCTTGTCACACTCGCAGGCCTTCTGCCCACAGAGGCAGCTGCCACCCAGGGAGCATCCACCTGCGGAAACACGCAGAGTCACTGGGGGCTCACTGCCCAGTCCAAAGCTGGGTTCTGAAGTGGGGGGAAGGGCTGGGGGTATAGGAGGAGCTGTAGGTGTCCAGGGCAGAGGGCAAGAAGTGGGAATGCTTTCTCTCTGTTCACTGCCATTCCCCAGTCACACTCACACTTTCTGCCACAGCACAGCACACAGATGCCTAGAAGGAGGTAAATGGAGTGCAGAGGATGGCCTGCGTGTTGGGGGAGGGGTGAGTTACTGCACCCTGGGAGCACCTGGGCCAAGGCAACAGGAAGAACTCATCCCCCCCCCCCAACCCTGGGGCCCAGGCCCATCTCCCGTTCCAGACACCGGCTTGACATCTCAGGTGCTGTCTGGAACATCTCCCACTGCAGGTGTTCAAAGCTACCCTACACATACATATGTGTCATGGCCACTGAGCCTGTCACCTCTCCACCCTTAGGATGACACCATCTGACCCCAGCAGCTCTCTAGGATCCCCCCCTTTCATTTCCTGTTTCCCATCTGCTGGCAAGTCCCATGGATGTCCCCGTGTTTAAACCTTCACGCTCTGCCCTCTTTCGTCCACCCTCCCTGCCACTACCCACATCCCTGTCCCTCTCCACACTATGTCACCTCCCGTTCTCCCTCCTTAGTGGGAGGAAACAAACAGGTAGTCTCGAAATGTCACCTGGATCATACTCCCTCTCCTGTTTAAAGCCACACTGTGGTTTCCCAGGCTCTGTGGAAGAGGTGACCTTGTGGCAGTCCCCAGCCCCCTGCCACAGACTGACTACCCCAGCCTCCCTTTCCTCATGGAACTGCCGCCCTCCCTCCCCCAGTCTGCTCCAGACACAGGGGCCTCTGTGAGTTTAGCTATCACATTCTGCCTGTCCCAGGACCTTTGCACATGCTGTTCTCTGGTCTCTTCCAGTGGTCAGCTCCCATAGGCCATTTGGGTCTTGATGGAATCCAAGTTCTTCAGACAGGCCAAGCCCCCTGGTCTAAAGCTCTCCCCAGCCGCTCCCTCCCAGGTCCCCTTGCTGTTTTCATTTGCACACTGACTTGCTGTGCCCTCCTCTGTCCCACAGAGTGAGGCTCCATGAGGCTGGGACTCTGGTGTGTCACAGAGTCTCCCATTGCAGAGCAGAGGCCAGTCTACGGGAACTCCTCAGGATACTGCTGCCGAATAGCAAATGAACCCCAGAGGACTTTGGGATGCGGTGTCTACCCTCGAGCTGAAGGGCAAGCAGATTGGGGCCTTTTGTTGAGCAGTCACAGGCCTAATGCTTTGTGTGTGTGCATACACATGAGCATGCATGAGTGCATCCTGGGCCATCAAAAGCACCCCAGTTTCTATAGACCTCCACCCAGGGCTGCTCTCTGCATGAGGAAGGAGGCTGCCAGACCCCGGGGCTTGTGTTCCGCAGCTGGTTAATCTGAATGTCTCCCTGGACAAAATGATGCTGACCACAGTCAAAGATGAGCAGCACAGTAAGGCCCCCTGCTGAGATGCTGGTCACAGATGGAGTGTGTGCTTGGGTCTACTGCTCCGGCAGGGGCATCCTTGGGTCTACTGCTCCGGCAGGGGCATCCTTGGCTCTACAAACACAACGAAGCCTGCCCAGTGCTGGACCAGTGCAGGCTGTTTCTCTGCCGCCTTCCCTCTCCGAAGGCCACCTTTCCACTGGAGCTGTCCACCCATGCCTGTCTGGAGACTTGATTTCTCAGGGCAGACACCGCCTCGACACCGCCTCCTCACCGCCACCACGCCTCAGCTGCCCATCACCACACACCCTCAGGAAGGTGCCAAGGGCATTCATGCCACCCCCACTCTCCCTCACGCCTGCACCCTTTGGCCCTCTCACACCCCCTTCCCCATCTGAGAAGGTCTGCCCAGAGCCATCAAGTCCCAGACCCTTTGGAGCTCTCCCCATCTCATCCCCATGCATGAGCCTCTTCCTCTCTGTCCACAGCAAGTCTCTGTGTCTCCAAAACAGCAGCTGTGGCCAAGGCCACAGTGGGTGTGGGCTGCCTGAATGCAGGCCCTGCCCTAGTGGATCGCCTCCCAGGAAATCTGACCCACTATCCCCTCTGTCCTCCTCCACTTTCCCCTCCCCCCTTCTTTCCCCCTTCTCCTGTTTATGTCTGGCTCCTCTTTTTCCTCACTACTCAATTTTCTTGACTCTTCCTTCTTCTCGGACCGTGTATGAGTGTTTTTGTCTACATATATGTATGTGCACCATGTGCATGCCTGATGCCCACAGTGGTTTGAAGAAGACATCAGATCTCCTGGAACTAGAGTTACTGATGGTTATAGCTGCCACGTGGTTGCGGAGGAGCTGACCTTAGGTCCTCTACCAGAGCAGCAAGTGTTCTTAACCACTGAGCCATCCCCCCCCCCAACCACTTTTATGTGTCCTTTCTTGAGACATGGACTCATGTAGCCCAGCCTGGCCTTAAATCACTCCTGAGGTCACTCAAAGATGACACTGGACTCCTAATCCTCCTGGGTCCATCTTCCAAGTGCTGAGATGACACTCATGGACCACAATGCTATGAGTGATGGGATTGAACCCAGGGCTTCATGCATGCTAGGCAAGAAGACTCTACCAAGTGAGCTACACGCCCAGCTCTCTTCGAATCCTTTCTACTGTGGATGAAATCCTTTCCCTGAAGTGTAAATCCACTTCTCACGGCTCTCCCAGTCCCTAGATCTTCAGCACTGGTCTTGGACAGTGATTTTCTACCAAGGATGGTCATTTTGGCAGCATCCCTCAGTTATGGGCTGGGTTTGTCATGACCTGGAAGAAAAATGCAGCCCTAAGATTAAGATTGGGTTTGCCATGATCTGGAAGGAAAATGCCGCCCTAAGATTAAGATTGGGTTTGCCATGATCTGGAAGAAAATGTAGCCCTAAGCCAAAAAAATGCCACCTTTGCAAGTCACCATTTCAAAACACTGGACTCCAGATCTTTCATCTTCCAGTATTCCAAAAGAGAAACTGAGGCACGAGGAGAGGAAATGACAGCTTCCAAAAGTCCTTTCTCATCCTGAGAATGTCATCTCCACAAATGAGACAAGGTGACAGGCATAGACTTCTGCCTTGTGGCTAACCCACGGCCTCATGTGGCCTCTGTCTGGCTCCAGTTTTATTCTAGATTATCTTCACAGAGCTTTTTTTTTTTTTCTCCGAGACAGGGTTTCTCCGTGTAGTTTTTGGATCTTGCTCTGTAGACCAGGCTGGCCTCAAACTCACAGAGATCCGCCTGGCTCTGCCTCCTGAGTGCTGGGATCAAAGGCGTGCACCACCACCACCACCCAGCTTCACAGAGCTCTTGCTCAGTCTCAGGACTCCTGGGTTCCCAGCTCCAGCCCAGATCTCTCTTTTGAGCTCTAGACTGCAACTCAAGTATCTGTTTGCACTACATATCTTGTATTAGTCCATAGAGTTGTGTAATTTGCAAATAAAGTGGCTTATTTCGCTCACAATTTGGGGAGCTACAAGTCCAGACAGCATGGTGCTGGTGCTGGCAGGGCTCCCTTAGGCACATCACAGCATGACATACAGCATCATGGTGAGTGTGCACGTGAGAGGGAGGGGTCACATGGGACAACAGGAAGCCAGAGAGACTGGGGAAGGGCCAGTCTTGCTGTTCTAGAACAAGTTCCTCCAGTGGGAATAAACCAGTGTCCCAGGAGAGCTACATTAACCTCTTCTGAGAGTAGCGCCCACAGTGTTCAAACAGCCTCCAGGCCCCACCTCTTAAGGCCCCATTACGTCTTGTGTGTTCATGTGTATGGTGTCTAAGGTGGTATGTGTACATGTGCATACTGATTCATGGGTATGTGTGTGTGTGCATGCATGTGGAGGCCAGAGACCAATACTGGGCATCTTCCTTGATTCCTCTCAACCTTATTCTTTTAATTTATTGTTTGTGTATATGTGTATGTGGTGTGCATACATGTATGTATTTATATATGAGTGAGCACATGAACATGTATAGCTGCACGTGCATGTGTGTGCATGTGTGCAGAGAATCAAGATTGATGGAGAGAGTCTTCCTCAGTCATTTTCCACCTTATTCATGGAGGCAGGGTCTCTCACTCAGTGCGCTCCACTGGACCCAGTGCTCACCGACTGTGGTGGTTTGAAAGAAAATGACACCCAAAATGAAGCAGCACTATTAGGAGGTGTGGCCTTGTTGAAGGAAGTGTGCCATTGTGGAGGTGGGCTGAGGTCTCATATATCCTCAAGTCACACCCAGTAAGTGAGACCATTTTCTGTTGCCTGTAAGTCAAGATATAGGAATCTCAGCTCCTTCTCCAGCACCATGTCTGCCTGCATGCCACCATGTCTCACCACGATGATAATGGACTAAATCTCTGAAATGTAAACCGCCACCTCAATGAAATGTTTTTCCTTTCTAAGAGTTGCCGTGGTCATGGTGTCTCTTCACAGCAATAGAAAGCCTAACTAAGACAGCAATATAGATTAATTTTAGTTTTGTTGGTTAGCTTGCTCTGTGAATCCCCCATCTGTGCCTTCCAAGTTCTAGAGTCACAGGAAGGCTACCATGCCCACCCAGCATTTATGTGAGTTCTTAGGATCCAAACGTGGGCCCTCACGTTTGCATGATGGGATCTTTTAACTACCGAGTCACCTCCCCAACCCATCACCTTATTTTTGAGACTGGATCTCCCACTGAACCTAGAACTGCCCAATGAGCCGGGATGGCTATATTGGGCTTCAGGGGCCTGCTTGTCTCCACTCCCTTGTGCCCAGTGCTGGGGTTATAGATGTGCGCGCCACGCTCCAGATTCCACATGGGTGCTGGAGATTAGAACTCAGCTCTGTACAGCAGGGGATTCATCAGCTGACCCATCTCCCCAGTCTTGGTCCCCTACTTATTAACATTACTACCTGGGTAAGCCATCTTCCCAGATACAACTCCCTTGGGAACACACTTAAAACATATCTGAGCTACAGCACATCTTACAC